GGAAATGTAAAAAACTGGTTGAAAAAAGGAATTATCCTAAAATTTTGAACCATCACTTTATTTTTCAGGAATAAAACTTGGCTTTTTGCCCAGATATGTATTCACAGTTCCTGTACCTTCCCACTTTTCTATGGCTATGAATTTCCCAATAGATATGGAAAATAAGCAGGAAGTCTGGATCCTGTATGTTTTGTGTTGATTTTGAATTTTTTGATTGTTGAGAAGACATGAGGTTGTGAACTAGACTGCTAAATTGAACCAATCTAGATACTTTAGAAATGCCTTACTTTAAAAAAGAAGTCAACAAATACATTTGTCAAATGGAAATAAAAAACACTTTCGAGTTTTGTTCCCACAGGAGATGAGAGGATGTGGATTCCTTCAGGGTTAATATGGATCATGTTTGATCAGGCAAGAGCTCAATTCTTGACAGGTGATATCTATCAACAAAGATTATATCTGGTCTTCCCAGGAGTTGGCCATTATCTCAAAATTTTCTCAGGTATCCCTAAAGATGCCTTTGCCCACAGCCAGCAGGAAGCAGTTTAGAGAAAACTATGCCCACATTCCCAAGAATTTGGGGGGTGTGTAGGTGGTCTTTGGTTATTTGATAGGTTATGGATGTTTGTTATCATTTAGGGAAATATAGTATATCAATACAAATTTAAAGTTATTTTTGTTATACTGTATATATGTTTCTACTCTTGTTTAAGGTATTGTATCTATGTAGTTCATTTAAAAATGTAAGGTAAAGTTCTAGTTTTTGAAAGCTATTATTATAAACTATATAGGACAATCAAGAAACAAGTCAGTAGTTAGTCATTTATAACAATCAAATTTATGGATATATTATGTATGTTTTCTAGGTTAAATAGATATATTTTAGACAGATGGTCTTCAAATACTTCAAAGACCTATAGAATATGGCATTTAAAATGTTTTAACTTAATGACAATGAGACACATCTGCTCCTGGTAATACCAATTTACTTCAGAGATGATGGGCATCGAAGAAACTTCTTAAGGAGTTTGCTTTCAATGTGGCAAGGCTAGCCACTGGGCAAAGAAACTGTTCTTGCCTGGACTGGTTGACAGTATGTTGTATAAACTGGACATACAGGACTCACAGGAAAGTGACTGCTGAACTTTGCCAAAACAAGGTGGGATGGTCCTTCAGGTTCCTGCATCACAGAAGAAACTGCCAGACATTCTGCAGGACACAGAGGAATGTGACTGACAAACTTTGTCAATATAGGTGGGACAGTCTTCCAAAATTCCTACTTCATTGAAAAGTCTACCAGATGCTATGGGCCTATAGGTTGAATATGGATGACCTAATGTTGCAGAGGAACTTTGGGTGACTGTCCAGTCAGTCAGATGTCTCTGTCATTGCTAGAGTTTTGGAAGTTGTTTGCAATGCACTCTTTGTTTACTCAAATAATATTATAACCTTCAGGGGCCTTTGATGGAGTTGAAGACTGGATAGTTATAGTTGTAGTTTTCCTCAGATATGATAGAAAGTAAATTAGGTATAAAACTTTAGATTCACTAAGATAGTATAGGTTATGGAGTATTTTCTTTAAATGTACTAGACACAAATGAATTGGAATTCAGTACATTGTGAATGTAATATTTATTTGATAATTGTTTTTATTGTATATAGTCTTACTATGTTAAAGTTAAAACTTTTCATTTTTGTTTAGAAAAAAAGGGGAGAAATGTTGGGGTGTGTTACTTTTGTTTACACTGCATTTGTTTAACTCTGTGAAGCTGTGTTACTTTGCCTGTCTAAAACATCTGATGGTCTAATAAAGAACTGAATGGCCATTAGCAAGGCAGGAGAAAAGATAGGCAGGGCTGGTAGGCAGAAAGAATTAATAGAAGGAGAAATCTGGGAGATAGAGATCTAGGAGTGAGGGAAGGAAGAGGACATCAGGGCCAGCCACTCAGCTACATAGCATGCCATGGAGTAGAGAAACAAAGAAGGGTATATAGGAAGAAAAATTCCAGAGGCAAAATGAGACATAAGTTAAGAAAAGCTGGCTAGAAACAAGCCAAGCTAAGGCCAGGCATTTATAATTAAGAATAAGCCTCTGTGTGATTTATTTGGGAGCTGGCTGGCAGGCCCCCCAAAAGAGTAAAAATAACCAACAACCACTGTTATGCTTGGTTTTGAATATATTATTTTTGTGTGTGTATGCATGTGTGTGTGTGTGTGTGTACAGGCAGAGACCGTGGGTTGATGTTCAGTGTCTTCCTTAATTGTTCTCCACTTTACTTTTGAGACAAGGCCTCAACCTGGAGAATACTGGGTTGACCAGATGGCCAGCAAGTCCCAGGGCTCCTCTTTGCTTTCCCATTGAATTCAGGTCCTCATGCTTGTGTGGCAAACATCTTAACATATGAGCCATTTCCCCACTCCTCTGGATATTTGGTTTTTAAAATATTCTTTTCTTGCTATTGATCCCACCAATACATTACTTTTGACTCCAGCTATTATATTCTTTAGCTTTGCTATTTTAATAATATCCTTCCTGAATTGTTTTATTCATCTTTCCCTTTAGATTATTTTAATGTATGTTATTTTTTAAAATTTGAAAGTCTTTCTTGTTAGACGTTAGCATGTCTTTTTTTCCTACTGACCATACATTATGATTTCTAGTCTATATTTCTACTAGCTGTAGTTCTTTTTATAACGTTTTTAGTTAAAGTAGAATTATATCACTTTCCCTCCTCCCTTTCCCTTTAGTCTCTCCCAACTACCTTCCCCTGAACCCTTCTCATGCTCCCTCGTTGATAGCTTTGATAATTGTCACAAAATTATATTTGTGTATTTATATATAGTTATGTTGCTGCTGAGTCTTTTTGTTGGCTAATGCAGGACTGATCATTACTCTGTACTGGACAACCAATAAGGTGGCTCATCCCTGGGGGAGGCTAATTTTCCTACTCCCAGCAGTCATTAGTTGCCTGGAGTCCTTTGTCCAGGGTGGGATGCCACAAATTTTTCCCCTTCCCCATTAACATGTCCATTCACACTGACATTGTTCCAGTCAGTTTATGTAATCATTTCTAGGCAAGGCTGTTTCACAGCAGAATTCCTGGCACTATGACTTTTACACTCTGTTTCCTCGTCAATGATTTTCTCTGAGCCATAGATGTAGGAGCTGTGATGTAGATGTATCCATTGGTGCTGGGCTTCCCATGATCTATGCCCTCTTGAGTGTGTCCACTTGTGACGGTCTTTTCTGTGATGGTCTTCATTTGTTGTGGAGACTTCTTTGATGAGGGTTGGTAGCTATACTTATCCAGGAAAGGTGGCTCACAAACACTAATTTTTTTTTTTTTTAATGTGTGGGCATGTTTTGCTTGCATATGACTGTCTGTGAACCACTTGTGTGCCTGGTGCATGAGTTTGTAATAGGGCATTGGATCCTAGTTGGAGTTCTAGACCACTGTGAGCAACCATGAGGGTCTTGGGAATCATTCCTGGGTCCTCTGGAATAGCAGGTTTTTTTTTTTTTTAAGATTATAATTTCTCCTTCCCATTTCCTCTCCCCAAACCTTAACATATATCTCTCCCCACTCTCCTTTAAATTCATGACTTCTTTTTCACTGTTATTGAATGCATGTATGTATATATTCCTAAATATAACCTGTTTAGTCCAAATGATATTTGTATGTTTTCAGGACTGACCATTGGCACTGGACAACCAATTAGTATGTTTTTCCCTGGAGAAGACCACCTCCCCTTCTCCCAGCTTCCCTCAGTTGCCTATACTTCTTTGTGTAGGGCTGAGTCCTCATGAGCTTTTCTCCATCCACTTTGGCATGTCCATTGGTGTCAGCTCATGTTTAGGCATCAGGAAGTTTGCTGTGACATTGTCTCCTAGTAATAACAGAGGCAAGTGCTTTCTTAACATTCAACTTTCTCTTCAAACATTCTTTCCCCAAATAACACTAATTCTTTTCAATAGGTAGGTTAGTTACTAACTAGTTCCTTGATCTTTATTAAGACTGCCTTTCTTCTTACGGTATAGGCATAGGCCCAGTTCAAGGTTTCTACTCCTAATGCCCAGTCATTTAGAAGTTTCAATGTTAAAGCCTGAGTTGTTTGTGAAGTTCCTGTTTGGTCAAACTTGAACTCCAAACTGTCTTCTTTGTACTGAACTGCTTCTGAAAATATTGAAGCTTAGCAATTAGTATTTTCCCTGTAGTTTCTCTCTGTGTAGAGTTTAGGAGTAAGACAAGAACTTGGAGTTTGAAGGTAGACTTTGTGGCTCTGTACAATGGTACTATCATTTAAAAATTTCCTCCCTTGGTAATTGACTACTTGGGCTCCCTAGACTATGAGACTCCTTATCATGAACCAGCACCTTCCACATAAACTCTCTGAACATGGGAGTTTATTCTGATTGCCACTAAACATCTCAGTGCCTTCAGTTATTTCTATTTTATATCTAGACACTTTGTCACAGTGATTTTGATAACAGGTTTTTGAGTGAGTTTTTCTTTAGTTTTACTTTTTTTGAGACAGGGTTTCATGCAGCTGAAGTTGGTCTGGAACTCATTCTACAGTCAAGGATCATGAACTTCTGATCCTCCTGCCTCCACCCCAAAGTGCTGGGATTACAGGCATGTATCACCTTGCTTGACAAATTTACTTTAAAAATAAATAACAATTTTTTAAAGACAAGGTTTCACTGAGTCATTCCAGCTGGCCTGAAACTTTGCTATGTAGACCAGGCTGACATTGAACAGAGATCTGCTTGCATCTGCCTCCCAAGTGCCCAGATTAAAGGTAAAGGCTAGCATCATTGTATACCATACCTTTGTTCTTTTAAATTAGTGAATAAAAAAACAATGGATTACCACATCATTACTGTTACATGTATGGTACATATCTTCCCTCGAAAGACAGCTGAGGATGAGAACTGAAAAAGTATAAGAGATTATGCATCGCTTGGAAAGTGGCAAGAAAATTAACTGTAGAGATAGAGATTAAATTGACCAAAACATGTTTATTACATTTATTGATATTACAAATGGCATCATACATTGTAATGCAGTATCTGTTTATACACTATACATTCATCTATATTGTGAACCGTGTCACTGAAATGATAGTGTCAGAGACTAAGGATGCGGCTGAGAGGGTGAGCGCTTGCCTAATGTGTGAGGCCCTGGGTAAGAGCCATAGCACCTGAAAAGGTCCTGAACCCATGAATTTCATCAAGAGCTATGTGCTAGAGTTAAAAATTCCATTTTTTTTTTTTTTTTTTGTTGCTTTTCAAGTTCAAACTTCACGAGACAAAGCTTGTGGTCTTAGGGATAAAAGGGCATAATCTTGGCTCCGAGGACTGTTAATGTTTGACATTAGTCACACAGAGTTAGAGTGTGGTCAAGGTTAATGTGACATACCTCTCCACTCTCATCCCAGTTTCAAGATGTCACTTTGTAATTTTTTTGGGGAAAAGTGAACAGGACTTTTGTTAAAGGAGGATTCTCCATTTTCTAAAAAACAAAGTTGTTTTTTTTTTTTTTTTTTTCACAAAGTATGCCAGCTCTTCTGGACATTGGCTCCAGGAACAGGTCATGAGTCTAACACTATGTGAAACACTCACATGAATAGAATAACTTGTGAAAAATCCAGAATTTGCAAAGAGAAGTATTAGAGTATCTGAAGTGCAAATTATAAAGGACTTTCAATACAACTTGACAGACGTTTCTCTCCGTCCACCATGTGGGTACCAGGGATGGAATTCGGGTCATCAGGCTTCAGGTCAGGGCCTTTACTCGTTAGCCATCTCACCAGTCCTGGATGACAATCTCCTGTGTCATCTAAAAGTGTTCTAAGATCCTGTCTAGATGATTGACACAAACAAGCCACGACAAAGCCCCCAAAACTAAAACCAGAAAACAGAACCAAGTAAGCCTCTTGCTCTTCTTTAGGCAACTATACTAGGCAGAGAAATGTCTGGGGTATCCCTTCCTCAGATTAAAAGGCTATTCTTGTCTCTTTACAACCAGGGGTGTCTATCAGTCCTAGGGAAAGAGGGCCTCTACACAAATGGAAATTCGGGTTGCTCTCTGATAGGAGCGAACGATAGCAGCAATGTCTTCTTTATTGGAACAAAGAATTTCTTACAGTACAAGTTCCCAGACAACCCATGAAACAAGAACCATTTAATAAGAGCCACTTACTACATGCTCTATCTTGAGACCAGCATACCCCTTCCTGAAAAATATACAAGCTTACACAGATAGCATTTGAGTAACAAAGCTGCAAATCCATAAAAATATAAACAAAACCCTAAACATTATTATGTGAAAAGATTACAGATAGACACAGGGCTTCAGACTTTAGAAAAGCTAATTTAAGTGCAAATCAACATACTTTTTCATAAAGGTACTGAATTTAAAATGTTACTGCATCTAGCATTTAAGCCCCCGCCCCCGTACTGGGGACACAGGGTATTCCTTATCATATACTATTTCTGGTGTACACTCAAAAGGGTATCTAGTTTAAACTTCAAACATATGCCCAGTACTATAAGAAATATGGAAATCACAAGGACAATGATGCTGGAGACGTAAGCAAGGGCTCTACTGAGCTACATCCCTAGCCTGCATTCTCTATTTCCAAGGCAGGTTCTTACCAAAGTGCTCAGTCTGGCCTTCAACTCAGTCTGTAGTTCAAAGACCCGTAAGTGTATGATCCTTCTGCCCCTGCCACAGCCTCCTGGGATGGGAGTACAGGTCTGCCTTGAGAAAATGTCTCCTTTTAACAGTTATGTACAGAAACACTATACCCTATATCACTGTATTCTATCAGGTGTAGCAGGGAAGACAGACTCATGATACATAGCCAGAGTGGCAACTGATTCAACAGATGAAACAAAGTTTGGGGTAGATGTGTCTTGAGGAAGAAGTGTGAAAGTTCACCTGGTAGTAGATAAAGCAAACCATGCCAACAGAACGCATGGGAAAGCCCTAGATGGTAAAACTGTAGAATGCATCAGAGGGAAGGTAAGAAATTGGATGAGGGCAATTTTTACCTTTTTCCTCAAGCACCATTATAGCAGATGACATGGCTCAAGCAATAATTATCCTGTGTCTTCACTGTTTCCTTAGTAATAACACCCTTTGCACTCTTCATAAAGTTGAAGACCATCTAAATCCTGCGATCATTCTTAAGGAACTTCATTCATGCTGGGAGAGATGACTTAAGTGCATGGAGAATGTGGATTTCACACTAGTCCTCAACGACGGAACTGTACATCCTAAGAAAAATCATCGGTTGGCTAAGCAAACATTTTTTCATAGGTAGAATTACTGTCTCCTAATTAACTTCTCAGTCTAAGTATTCTTTGATGGAGATTCTGACCTTGACCTACTTTATAAATCAAGAAAGTGAGAGAGACAGGTGAGAGGTGCACAGAAGTGATAGGTCCAGAACTCAGGCGGTCTACCGTGTCTAAACCACACTTACATGCCAAGGGGTTTAATGACTAAGTTTATATATACTAGACTGGTTTACAGAGCACCTCAAAATTCTGGTAAAGATTATTTTGGTTGCTTCTGGGTATGTTCTTGGAAGAGATAAACACTAAAAGAAGTTTGTTCCGAGAGTAACTGTCTTTCCCTTGTTGAGTCTCACCCCAACTGAGGTCCAGAATGGAACAAAGATGTTAACACTTCCCATCTGAAGAGCTCCTGCTTGACTGCCCTGCACTGGCTCCCTGGACTTCCCTGGACTCTGGATTCAAATGGAAAAGACTCTTCTTGATCTCAAGCTTGCTGGCTTTTAGGCTACAATGAAGGTCACTGGCTTTTCTGGTTGTCAGGCCTTTGGATGGTGACTGGAACTACCACCATTTTGGGGTCTAGCTTGACGACTGTGGAGTTTAGAAATTTCCAGCTTCCTTCACACTAGCCAATTCCTTATTCCTTTCCACATGCACATCCTATCGGTTTTGCTTCTCTGGAGACTCCTAACACAGGGGTTAAAAGAGATGAACAGAGATGGCACTGAAGTAGGGACTGGGCTGAGCCATACAATCCTAGTGAGCAGACCTCTCCAAAAATGGAGCTTCTTCTATTAAGAGCTGCCACTGAGTAATGGTTATGCCACAATGGTTAGGGTTATGATGAAGTCTTAATGACAACGCAAAGACCTTATAAAAAGGGACACCAGTCTGTTTCCTAGTCTCTTGGCCACATGAATCAGATGAGGAACTTGCCATCACCAAGAAAATGTTAGAATACATGCATTTAAGTTTGTTGTGCTGTTCCCTGATTTACTGTTTAGTGTACATGGTCCTAACTGTAGCTAGCAACAAATCTAAACGAAGGTCATAGCAGATGAAACTCACATTTTCCACCAGATTATATAGATGGAGTTATAAATTCCTGATATGGGTGGGGGGGAGAATTCAGCAAAATAAACACCAAACATAGGTATGCTCCCCCCTCCCAGAACAGTCAACTGCCAAAACAATGTAAACATTTAAAATATCTGATTTTGTGCATATTAAAAAATGCACTCTTGGGGCTGGAGAGATGGCTCAGCAGTTAACAGAGCACTTCCACTTCCTATTCTTCCCAAAGACAAGCTCATCAGTTCTCAGCACTCACGTTAGGCAGATCAAAAGCACTTATAACTCCAGTTCCAGGGCACCAAACGCCCTCTTCTGGCCTCCATGGACATCCTCACATGTGGCACACACACACATACACACACATGCAGATAAAAAATTATTTAAAAATGCAGTCTTATTTTTACAGTGTTACACTATTTATAGTATCATTTCCAAAGAGACAGCTGTATATTTTTAGCACCTTTGCAGAACTACATTAACAATAATTTGGGCAAGAACCTCAACAACAAACCAACACTAAGACCCATCTGACTTTTCTCTCTACCAAAATATTATAACTCAATTTTTTAAGTAGTTCATCTACTTTTTAATTCCCATAATACAGGGTCTTTTCCTTCAGCTCCTCTGGCTAGCTGCAGGTGCCCTAAAGCAGAGATGGGGATTACCATGGTATGATATGTGTGTTTTTCAATGCTTATGATTATCAAAAATTAATCTTTGGACTGTGTTTATTAGCCGCTTCTTTAAAGACAAAAAGCTGAATATATCCAGTTTTATATGAACATGTCATCTAAACTATTTAGCAATTTCTTCTGTAACTTATAGTAAATATGAATTAAACACACAAAGCATACACATACTGAATTAAAAGGTCCCAAATCCAGAATGCTTAAGAAAAATATTTTTCTCATTAAAAACATTTGGGTATGAAACAATATATAACACCCATCTGCAACTGTAACACCACGGGTGTAAATATACTCATTTATTCTCTATCAAGCAGCACTTAAAACAATTATCTGAAAGCATCAGCATATTTTCAAGAGAAGCTACTTCAATCTTTAGACAGGTCAAATTATTCAGTAATAAAAAAAAATCAATTTTGTTATAAAGTAAAAAATACCAAGACTGCCTTGTTCTTTGGCTTCAGAACTAAGTTTTCATTTGACCTTTCAGAGGACCTTAAACGGGACACAGTATCTCCTCACAGTACCACCTTAGCTACGCTGGCAAGAGGATGTCCACTTCATCTGTAACTGTGCATGCCAGAACCAACAGGCAGGCAGCTGTGAAACAGTAGCCTGCAGGGTCCTGAAAAGAAGTAACACCGACTCAAAGCTAGCTGTGCACAGTACCGAACCCCGTGAGTGACAGTGGAAACTCCCGTCTGTGTCCTTCGGTAGGTGCACCCTGAAGAACATCCCCCTCACTGTCTCTTATAGTCCCCTGGCTTCCTTCTCATCACACAGCTTCACCTCACTTCAGCTCATAAAGAAGAGCACTGCCCTTGTGCAACACCTAGTTTGGTATGAGCTGATTTCTTTAAGCTGAAATCGATGTTTTGTATGGTTTTTAATACCTGGTTGTCTGGAAAGCAAGGGTAAACACAGAACTACCAAAATCAGACCATAAGCAAAAGCAGGAATGACTTCAAGTGTCAGGCTGCAGCTTTTTCATAGAGATCGTTGAGTATGGATCCAGGGGCCAGTGAGATGCCTTAGTGGGTAAAGGTACTTTCTGTGAAACCCTGACAAGAGACAGGTCTCTGAAAGGAGAAATGACTCCGTGACTCTCAGCCACTCTGTGCTCGCCATGGTACACGGCGTCCCTCCCCCAACTGAGAAACCACAGGAAGGTGAGAAGGCTCAGCAGGTAAAGGCACTTCCGTCCATCTCAGGGACCACGTGGTAGGAGAAGAGAACACAGTCCTGCCTAAGCTGCCCTTTGATCTCCTCCCATGTTCCGTGACATGCACACAAGCACTCTCCTTCCCAAACAGGATGAGGTGTAATAAAAGAATGGCAGGGGAAGACTTGACATTCAGGGTTGAATTTGGGGCGATGGTTTAAGTTATATACCACATAATATTTAACGTTTAATTAAAATAGTGAATAATGTAAATAAGTTGGTAACGTTCATTTTGGAATGAAAAATTAAGTACATCACCTTCTAACTAGAGGAGAAGAAGACATTTTTAGAAGCAAAATTAGCTAACACCACTTTCCGTGCAGACTAAAGATCAGTAACTAGAACCACACTGTTCACAAAACTTCCTGATGGAAGACACGACGACCTTGTCTGAGTTCCCTGGTGAGAAAGGCACTGTAACACAGTGAGGCGGTGCGCATCTGAGGGCGTCTGCAAGCTGACTTTACCACACAGTAACTGTGGGGACTCTGCAACACACACATGGGAGGTGAGGATGGTGACTGTTCCTACCACACAGCTTTTGTGGGATGAAATGTGATAATGCACATAAACACGTTAACATCATGACTGGTTTAGAATAAGCCCCTCAATAAACATTGGCTATTATTGTCATCATTATTGTATAGGTGAAGAAACAGACTAAAAAGATTAAGTTCAAAGATTACTAACAGGCAAAGTTAGAAGTAGAATTCTAATCTAAATATATTCCTATTACCCTGTATTACCTATATGGATGTCTCCTTTTAATTCTTTTTATGCTATGAAGTTTTTGTGGATGAAGCTATCATTTGACACATTCAATGGCATAACGGCACTCTTGATTTAAAAATTTTCTTTTCAGTAGGAAAGAAATTGAAGCAAGCATTAACAGGTCTTAGTTAGGGCATGGTGGTGCTCCTCTGTAATCCTAGCACTCGAGAGGCCCAGGCAGGAAGATCAAAGACTTGGAGCCTGGCCTGGGCTACAGGGTGAGATGAAGACCAGCCTGAGACCCACTCGAAAAAGAAACAAATGCATTTCCAAGTCAACGAAGCAGACAAACAAAAGGAACTAGACTCTTCGGAGAATCAGGGTGGAGACGAATCTAGGTTTACAAGAAGTTAACACTGACCTTAAAAACTTACAAAAAAAAAAAAAAAAAAGAAGGAAGAAGGAAGGAAGGAAGGAAGGAAGGAAGGAAGGAAGGACAGACCAAGGGCAGAACAAAGGAAGCTCGGAAGGCAGGCAGAAGGCTGAGAGGTCGGCTTCAGGACTATGTACCTTATAACGCAGACCAAAGCCACCCAAAGTCTAAAGCGTCCTCCACAGGACTTGACTCACTCTGTACCTTGTACTAACCAGAACGGACTGTAAAGTCATTATGCAGAAAACAGCGAATTGACTTCAACGGTTCCAGAGTTAAGAAATAAAAGACTAAATAAGGCCTTCAATAGCTTTATTGAAATCTGTATAAATAAACATGCACATTTCAAATGTAAACTCAAGTGAACCCAAGTGCTGACAAAATATTAACCTCTGTCATGCAGGAGGTTAGTTTACATAAAAAAAAAAAAGGAAAAAAAGAAAAAAAAAAGGAAGAAAAGAAACAAAACAAAACAGCCAAAGCAGCTTTTAAAAGACCAGGATGAAAAACCAGCTTTAATATCAAGATATAAAGCAAAGCCATGATCAACATACCTTACTTATCCTGGTCAAATGCATTTTTTTTTCCTTTTTCTTTTAAAATGCTAACATAAATAAATAATTTACCAAAATGTGCACTCACAGAGTGAACTTTTATTTACAATACACAATTTATATCTATTGTATTTGATTAGTTCAAGTGAAGAACATTATACTTTTTGCTTTAATAACAGTGGGACACAAAGCGATTTCTCAGGTAGTCATATGTGAAATGTGCCCCAGCATTTCGTTTCCTATTAAAGGCAGTATTGTATGCCAATCAATGATACATTCCTTCAACTGGATCACAGGGAAAGAAAGCAGCCAATGAAAATGTCTCAAATGTTCACACGTATATTTGGCATCCTGGATCCTTGAATGTGAGAAACTAAAATGAAACCCAAAGTTCGTACGCTTCCTATGCTGCACAGGTCTGACTCTGGGAACATGCAAATACCACCTCCCTTAGACAAGTTACCTTCTGAGAAAAGCTGTAAGGCTGTGGTGAATTCCGCCGTCAGGAACACACAGAGAAGTTAACAGACCTACCTCTATAGCCAAGTTACCAATGAGTTAAAGGCTAGTACATGAACAAAAATCCTCTCACCTAAGTTTGATGCAATTATTACTACAGATACAGAATATTATTCAGCCTGTCCTTACATTACAGTAATTGGGAGAGCTAAAAAGTTGCTAAATTACCAAAAATGGGGTAAAGAACAACAGACAGCAAAAAATTGAATTTTGGACCAACAGTGGATTAAAGATAAGCATTTTAAACCAAAACGAATTTGAAATTTTAAAGAACAGATTCCAATCGTAGTGAAAAATACTTACATGTAGCTGAAAAATGACTTTCGATGGAGTATGGAATCTAGAACCTGTTCCCATGGTGAGTGAGGTAAATGTCATGTTTTGCATTTTAATGATACAACAAAAGGAGATCTTTCCAAGGTTATTTCTCACGGTATGATGGAATTTGTTTCTTTTAACAGACCCACACTGATTCCCAGGGACAGATTTGAAGACTGGTGCTCCAAGGATACACTGCGGTTTCTGTACCACACTGACACTGCAGTGAGGACCGGAGCGGTGCGGACAGCAGCCTAACACACATGAACTAGATTACCCAGATCTAAGCTCAGTCATAGCTTTCTTGCAGTATTATTCGAGCAAAATGAACGACCAACATCCACAAGTTTAACATTTGTCATCAGTTAAGTCACATCCAAAAATTAAAGAAAACATAATTCGTCAAAACAGCAGCAAACTTAAAAGGGGTTTATTTGTGATTTCCTATATATATTTAGCTTGTAAATACAAGACTGTAAATGTATTAAGAGACAATTTCTGTTAAAGTTTTCATTGTGTTTCACTTCAAGTACTGCACAAGTTAAAATCTGATAAAGGATTTACATTCGGTTATCTGAAACTCCTCATCTCAGACTTGTGTTTTAATGTGGTGGAGAACTCCACTGCCATCGCCACCACCAGCAGGAAGGTCTCTCTATGGCTTCTGGGACTCTCGTTAGTTAGTGTGCATACAGTTTTCATTCTCTAGGTCATTGTCATTGTCATTGCTGTCGTCGTCGTCACTTTCCAGGGGGATGCCCGTGGCAGCTGAAGCACCTTTCGTTTCTCGGTCCAGAGGGAAGAAGCCAGTCCCACTGAAAGTGTCCTGTCTCTGGTAGAAGAGGACGTACGCTGCTTTGGACTGCCAAACAAGCACAGGAGGTCAACACACAGAGACCATACACGACACAGCACGGGTTGTTAGCTAATAACCAATGTTAGTGACAAAAAATCAATAGAAAAACTACATATGACCAAGTGGAAGCTTATAAAATTGGCTAGATATAGTTATTTCTATATTTAAGTATTTTCATTCTATATAATTTGGACCAAGAGTTATATATAGCCCAAACACAAATTCAATTCCTATAATATAAAATACAATTCTGTTTTTCTTTCTTTCAACTTTAAGGTGAATGTTTTTGTATCTAACACTGAGTGTCTCAGCTCAGGCTTGACCTCCAGTGCAATGTCCTCTACTATACCAACATTTCCCCGATAATTAAAAATGTTTTCCCAGGATCTATTGGGAGAACATTGATTTTTTAAAAAAAGACATGAAAGTACAAGCAGAAGATTGAGGAATAGAAAGGGGAAGAGTGGACGGAGGAGGGACAAAAAGAGAGAGGGGAGCCCGACTGAAGTACAGCACGCACACACGACGACGTCATGAAGAAACCCAATCTTGGTACAATTAACGCGTGCTGGTGAAAATCACCCCCACCCTGTTTTGAGACACAATTTACTTGTTTAGTCCTTGCTGTCCTGGAACTAGCTCTGTAGACCAGGCTAGCCTTGAACTCACAGAGATCCGACTGCCTCTGCTTCCCAAGTACTAGGACTAAAGGTGTGCAGCCACTACTCCCAGCTTGAAAAAAAATATTTTAAAAAGAATATTTTTCCATTAATTATAACAGTAGATTTTAAAATTTATTTTTAAATATTTTAGTTTGTATTAGGTTTAGTCTGCATGTATGTCTAAGCATCACTTAGAAGCCCAATGCCTGGAGAGCCAGAAGAGGGCACTGGATCCCCTGGAACTGGAGTTACAGACTTGTGAGCTACCATGTGTGTGCTCTGGGAATCGAACCCAGGGTCCACTGGAAGAGTAGCCAGTGCTCTTAACCACTGAGCCATATTTGTGGCTCTTGTATCATTTTAAAAAAGATAGCCCAGGCTGCCAAGAATGAACATATGAGCCAAGTAAACTGACAGCCTACAGAATGAGAGAAAAATCTTTGCTAGCTGTGTCTCAGACAGGGTTGAAATCTAGATAAATATATAAAGAACTACAAAAATTAAACACCCCAAAATCAAAAATGCCAATCAATAAATGGGCCAATGAAATAAACAGTTCTTAAGAGAAGAAACTCAAATAGCCAATAAACAGTTTTAAAAATATGAACCATGTTTAGCCACAAGAAAAGGCAAATTCAGAGTATCTGTCCATCTCACCAGTCAGCATCAAGAAACTGCTGATGTGCTGTTGAGGATGTAGGGAAAGTGGACCTTTATTAACTGCTGGGGCAGCATAAACCAGCACAGCCCTTTACGGAAATCAGTATGGGTTCTCAAAAAATTAAAACGAGAACTACCACATGACCCATCTACCCCACTGCTGGGAATGTCTCACGGGACCACATATCCTACCAGAGATACTTGCACATCCAAATTTACTGCTGCTATATTCATAGCAACAGGGAACCAGAGTCAGCCTATGTGTTCATTAACAGATGACTGGATCGTGAAAAAGAGGTATATACACACAATGGGATTTTATTCAGCAGTCAAGAATGAATACATTTTCAGGAAAATAAATGATTTTTATAATAAGTATGATGATAGCCGGGCGGTGGTGGCGCACGCCTTTAATCCCAGCACTTGGGAGGCAGAGCCAGGTGGATCTCTGTCAGTTCGAGGCCAGCCTGGTCTACAGAGCAAGATCCAGGAAAAGGCGCAAAGCTACACAGAGAAACCCTGTCTCAAAAAACCAAAAAAAAAAAAAAAAAAAAAAAAAAAAAGTGTGATGACTTAGACTCAAAAAGATAAAAATCATGTTTTCTCAGAAGCAGATCCAAACTTTTTGATGTTTTATGTATGTACGCATGTATTTAATATCTTATGTATGCAAGTATTTGTTTGTATGTATGTAAGTGGGTGTGAGAGTGGGTCCAGGCAATGAAACCATGTAACAAACCACATGAAAGGAACAAGAAGCTTTGAGGAAAAGAGATGGGCCAAAGAACACATCATATGTGGAAGTGGAAAGGAGGCTGTGGGGGTTGAGGGAACAAGGGAAATGGGGAGGAAAAGCAGTCAACAAAAATCTGCTTGAAAATATCATAATGAAACCTCATATTCTGTAAGCTCACAACACAACAAAAGGTAGTCCAGGCTGACCTGGAACGTGCACCATTGCACAAGACGGTCTGGAACTTGTGATCTACCTGCCTGAGTCTCTGAAATGCTAAGATCACAGACATGTGCCACCATACTAGACATCTCTCTCTGGCTTAAAAAACATTTAAGTTTTTTCTGCATCAAAAACTGCTACCAAGAGAACTTCCACCCTCCACTGCACACACCCCTCTTCCTCTCCACTGGGGTCACAGAGTGTGGCCACCACCTCCTCAACAGTCCTCAGCTCTGTCACCCCATCTTTCCACAGCATTCTAATGGAACAGCTTTCCATGGGGTCGACAGCATCTCAGTCAATGGTGGCCTTTTATAGTAACACTGGTCCATCTCTCAAGAGCATTAACATCTCAGAGTCTTCTCTCCAGTGACTTTGGTCTTCGGTGACACTGCTTCTCCTTCGGTCTACTCTCTTCAGGCTCCCTTCCTAAATCATTTAAGACACATGTTCTGCCCGAGCAATCTTCTATATACTGAAATCGGAATGCGCACCTTTAGCTACAGCAACTGCTGGAATGTAGAATAGTGTTCCAAAGGCTCTTTTTTCTTTTCTATTTCTGAGACAGGATTTCTCTGTGTAGCCCTGGCTGTCCTGGAACTCCCTCTGTAGACCAGGCTGGTCTCAAAAGGCATGCACCACCATGCCTGACCCTCCAAAGGCCCTGCAACATGAGCTCATGTCCTGCTCCAAGTTTTCCCTTCTGTTAAATTTTTATTACTCCCTAAGAAGCTGACCCACGACCTCAAACACTGAAGACATACTTACCACAATTTGTTCTTCAGATGCAGTGGAGACACTACTGTCATCAAAATAGTACCATTTTCCATCATCTTTATTTTTTGCAAAAGCAGTATCTAGTGAAAAAATATAATAACTTCTATGACTGGAATATCTATGGCTTTGGGTGGATTCCTCAAAACTCTATGATCACCTACATAAAAAAATATCTGCTAAATGACATGAGTATCATCTATATCAGGCCTAGTATACATTTACTTGATTTGACAAAGGCTTTTAGAATGATTTCTAGCAATTTAAATGCCTAAGAAACATTTTTTCTAAGCTGAAACTTGTGACTTTTTTCAGATGGGAAAATAACTTTTTTTTTTAATTCACAGAAAAAAAACTAATGACAATTAATGGTAATTACCATTTATGCAGTGATTATGTGACAAGACACAGTGCTATGTATTATATCCACATTAAGGTATTATCATTATTCTTCTCATTGTAAAACTAGTAAACTAACATTTCTAAAAGAATCATTTGTTAAGGGGGTGCTGCTGTTATATAGCAGAGCTAGGACTTAAATTCAGGACTGCTTCTGATGCCTACATCCAGAATTTCTATTATTTATTTAAATTTCCTATGACATTTTCTTTTCTGATAACTCTACTTAATCTGTAGTTTTTTTCTGTCTTTAACACAGGTATAGAATAAGAGAAAGATAAAAAAAATGCTACTTCTTTATTCCTTCCATGCTCTGTATAAACTACTCACTTAAAACTCCCGTGCGCTAACAGAACACTTCCCAACAATGGTTATTCACATACCCTGGCTAATCATCACCTTTAACGAGGAGCTGAAAACAGCGTGAACTCAATAGCTTCCTTTGCACATCCCCTCAGACACTTTTCCCCCTCCTTCCAACCACTAGGATCCACCACTCAACAGTACCAGGTCTTTTGCTCTGTCCTCTATGTAGGATCCACCACTCAACAGTACCAGGTCTTTGGCTCTGTCCTCTATGTAGGATCCACCACTCAATAGTACCAGGTCTTTGGCTCTGTCCTCTATCTAGGATCCACCACTCAACAGTACCAGGTCTTTGGCTCTGTCCTCTATGTAGGATCCACCATTCAACAGTACCAGGTCTTTTGCTCTGTCCTCTATGTAGGATCCACCACTCAACAGTACCAGGTCTTTGGCTCTGTCCTCTATGTAGGATCCACCACTCAATAGTACCAGGTCTTTTGCTCTGTCCTCTATCTAGGATCCACCATTCAACAGTACCAGGTCTTTTGCTCTGTCCTCTATGTAGGATCCACCACTCAACAGTACCAGGTCTTTTGCTCTGTCCTCTATCTAGGATCCACCATTCAACAGTACCAGGTCTTTGGCTCTGTCCTCTATGTAGGATCCACCACTCAACAGTACCAGGTCTTTGGCTCTGTCCTCTATGTAGGATCCACCACTCAATAGTACCAGGTCTTTGGCTCTGTCCTCTATCTAGGATCCACCACTCAACAGTACCAGGTCTTTGGCTCTGTATTCCTTCATGAACCTGCACGAACTCAGCTCAGGGAAGTCTACTGCATGCGGTGAGTCTGCTAGCCTGAACTTAAGAGAACTACAGAGTAGACAATGCACTTCCAGAAGAAACATTCTCAGTCCTAAAGAAAATATGTAACCTATGAGACTGAAGAAATAATAAACTAACAAAAGCCTTTCAAGGTATTAGCAAGATACACCTTTGGGGAGGTTATTCAAAAGTAACAGTGAGAAAAGAAAAACAACCCCAATAAAAATACAGCCTGAAAGTAACTATAAAAAGCCTCAAATAAATTGGAATGTGGGTGAAATGGATAGACTTTTACAGAAGCAGAAAAATGTTCAAAATATATATGTAAGAAAAAGAAAACTGGTAGTCCAATAATGAAATAAATAAAAAAATTTTATGAGGTAAAGCCCACAGTTTCACAGAGAATTCTAGTGTACCTGTTGGATAGTTACTCCCCATATTATTCTGATAATTTCAGGAAATAAAAAAAAATTAATCTAGTTTATTTTATGACCATAAATGTGATTACAAAGTGAAATAATAATAAAAAGATTCATTTATGAATGAAAGTGTTAGCAATCCTAATCAGTTAATGAAATCAACTCTGCATTACACGTGACAAAAAGACACGTCACAGGAATGGAAATCTACCAGGTGAGAGTGTCAACTGTTACGGTCAACCTGAACTACAACCTGGCACACAGTTTTGTCAAGATGTCACTTCAAAGGACCCCTCAGACAACAGACCACAATCAATGACACTTTTCAGTCTTAGATTAGTAGAAAGTTAAGTGCTAATTTAAGTGAAGAGGTACAGTGCAATAAATCTACATCACCAGTGGTAAAAGCAACAGATTAACTAGACATGAACTAACAGGATTAAGTCTAAAGTCTCAAGAGAAAGAGTTACTGAGATCAATAGTTAGTACCTATTGCCTAAGTTAACAAATTCGCACAGTTTAAAAGAACACAGCACCAGACACATTATAAGGAAAGAAAGTGAAGAATGGGGTGGGAAGCGCCCTGACAGACAAGATGCTTCTTCCTGGGCCTTCAGCCGAGAGGGGGATTAACTCATTCCTTTAGAACCGGGTTTTAAAGTAAAGTTATACAGCTGATTCACTGATTCATTCATTTATAAATACTGAACAATGATGACATGCAAGATACATCTGACATTTTATTTACTTTAAAAAGTATTAACTATCTAACAGGAAAAAGTCTACAGATTGGAAAAAGGTTAAAAGGTAAACTATCAACTTACAATGACCACCTCCCATCCCTCCATAGTGGTTGGAAACAGCAATCAAATTATAGCGGCAAGGGCCTGCATTTGGATTAATTAGGAATTCTGACATATCCAAGTCACTGTTAAAAAGGAAATCAGATAAGTTATGCTTTCTTTAAAAGTGATGACATATTTTTCTTTTAAAGCAATAAATTCTAGCACCTTCTGTTAGTACTGACTCATATATATGCATACACACATAATCATTAATACCATAACACACACACACACACACACACACACACACACACACCCTCATACAAGAAATTACCCAGAGATAACCTACCAAACAAATTATACATGTATCCCTGAGATTTGAGTGTTTGGGAAATCCTTGTTTAGGGGTTGATAATTGGGCATTGAATGCTATTCTGATTAATGCTTTTATGCTATCACATTTAACTTACAGTGTGCCAGGGAAAAAAATTAAAAGGAAAAGTGAAAAGCAACTTCCTTATGAACACTCAAGAATTAAAATCTTGGAGAATCTACTGCTGCCACTTTCCTAAACAAGCACAGTCTCTGCCTGTGCTCTAGATGTGGCTCCCACCCTCACTAAAGCAGCGTCTCTACCTGTGCTCTAGATGTGGCTCCCACCCCCACTAAAGCAGGGTCTCTGCCTGTGCTCTAGATGTGGCTCCCACCCCCACTAAAGCAGGGTCTCTGCCTGTGCTCTAGATGTGGCTCCCACCCTCACTAAAGCAGGGTCTCTGCCTGTGCTCTAGATGTGGCTCCCACCCTCACTAAAGCACCGTCTTTTGCTGCAGAGGGGGATCATTTCCAGTCATAACTGGTCAAAACTCAGACCAGTGGACTGTGAAGTGCTTGTTTCCAGTGAATCTAGTTACAACAAAACCATGAAATAGCAATCCTAACAAATTATTACAACTACTCAAAACTTCAAGGTTTAAACTGATCCAATTACACCTGACGTTTACTAAGGTAAAATAAGAATATCATCACATAATTTGAAAAAAGAAGGTCCTATGCTTACTGAATACAGTTGAAACTTACTTGATAGGAAAATCAACTAAAGTATCTAACTTGTCTCTCATGTATCGACTGTAAGAAAATCGCTTGAGATGTACCACAAGTACTGGAGGCAGGGACCATAAATCTAATTTCTTTGTGGCTTGCTGATGTTCTTTACAATTTGGACAATACCTATAAAGAAGAAAATAAAGCTTGACAGAGGCACAAACAAATGATTTGTATTAATGGAAACTACAAAATAAAAAATCAATGTCTAGTAAGTTCTACATTTTATCAGTGAGCAATCACCGTATACTTAATCTATGTGAACACGAAAGCAATTCCTCATTCTTATCTGCTACATCTTCCGGACAAGCTTAACCATTACAAACACATAAATATTCAAAGAAATGATGACAGTGCCTATTAGAGAAAAGACAGTCATGAGAGGGAAAGTCGCCACTGTAACACTTCAAAAAAGCTGTGAGCTCCTCTTTAGACTGGAGCTTCCTACATAAAGACCTCACTGAACTATCAAGGAGACTCAGTTAACACTTGCCCACATGACCAGAGTAAACTCTTCAAGAAAAGGAACACAGCCGTTCAGTGTCTCCTCTTACCAGGGGTCTTCGGCACCGAGTTTTTCTTTTGTTGTAAAAAGCTCAATGCAGTCTTTCAATTTCACAAAGGGTTTTTTTGGAGGTTTATATTCCACACTTTCATGTTTTTCAAAATCCTAAAGAGAAGTATTTCTTGAGTTAAGAGAACAAGTTAAACAGAACCCATCTTAGTGACACATCTTAAGCATCCTGAAAACTCAGACTGTAGAAGCCTCAGCAGAAATGTGTCTGGAACAACTTGTGAAAGAACCCCTGTGGTTGAATCAGCACACAGAAAGCATGTTCAAAACCAGCTCTTTCCTTGACAGGTAAAAAGGGCCACCATCTTTTTTTGTTAACTGCTAAAACAACCTATTTGTAGAATCAAGGGGAGAGGAGTGTGATCAACTCAGTCACATAAAGAAGGTAAAACAAGAGCCCAGGAGCAGCGAATGGGGCTCACCTCAGCGGCATTCTCATCGAAGTACCTCTTTTTCAAATCAGGATCCCAGTCCAAAGCGAGAAAAGATCTTTCTAAGGTAGAAAAAATATTCTTTCATTAAAAATGTTGTAAGCTTTAGTGTTAAAATAAATATATCTTTTTTTCTTTTTAAAGATTTATTTATTTATTATGGATACAGTGTTCTGTCTGCACATATCCCTGCAGGCCAGAAGATGGCGCCAGATCTCATTACAGATGGTTGTGAGCCACCATGTGGTTGCTGGGAATTGAACTCAGGACCTTTGGAAGAACAAGCAGTGCTCTTAACCTCTAAGCCATCTCTCCAGCCCTAAAATAAATATATCTTAATGCCAACATATACACCAGAAAAAAACAGCAATCTCTTTAAACCAGGGTTTTCTACTTGCACTAGGTGATCAGGGCAACAATGATAGCTGTTTCCAAGTCACTGAAATAATCCAAGAGTTAAAAAATAATACAAAGTGTAAGCATACATAACTAACCTCAGTGTAGTAAAGATTATCACTTACTATAGGAAGACATTAAGGCTTTGACTCCTTAGAGATAAGTAACTGTATTTTTGATGACAGGCTAAATTTCATGGTCTTCACCTAAAACCACTTTGTCCGGCTCAGGTTCAGCGTCCGAGCTATTCCTCACAGGGACTCACCATCCAGCCGAAGCTGCCTATCGTCAAATCGTATCTGCCTGGTGTCATCTTTGATGTAGTTGATATCAGTATTGCCTAAATTGATGAACTGGAATGTAAACAGTCGCTTCTTGTGTCCCGTGAGTTGGCCTTTGCAAGTTTCTTCAGTACACAATCCGTTTTCAGAGTCATTGTCTCCTCCGACCGAATCTTCAGACTGACTGTTCTCATTCTCTGAAGGAAGCTCCTGGTCCTGACTGGACTCGTCGTCTGGTTCATCTGTCTCCATCTCACCTGGGTATTTAACAGAGATCCTTAAGTTAACCTGTACGCCATTTCAAAAGTCTAAGTGCTGCTTTTCCATATCTATTCATGTGTTCTACTTTATTAATCCACATCTTAACCGAGGACATGACAAAAAAGTCTTACTTGGTGAGCCTTCTTCATGTATACCATTCGGGCCGTTCCCATTGATATTCTGGTCCTCACAGCAACGCAGGGGCCCATCAGTTTCCTCGGATTCAGTAGACATCTTGACATACCGGCTGCAGTAAAACCAGGTAACCAACAAGCTTGTAAAATTAAATTTCCATTTTACGTAATAAAACTAACAATTTTAATTCAAACTCTAGACCTAACACTCATATAGTAAAGCTGGCTAATAATTTATATTTGGGTTGTTTTTAAATATAAAAAATTAAATATTTACTTCTAGGCTCCCCCCCCTTATACTTCTAGGGTTTTGCTTTTTTTTGGGGGGTGGGTGGGTGTCTTTTCAAGACAGGGTTTCTCTACGTAGTTTTGGTGGCTGTCCTGGATCTTGCTCTGTAGACCAGGCTGGCCTCAAACTCACAGAGATCCACCTGACTCTGCCTCCCCAGTGCTGGGATTAAAGACGGGTGCCACCGCCACCCAGCTAAGGTTTTGCTTTTTATTGTTGCTGTTTTTGAGACAGGGCCTCACTGTACATTTGCATTTGCAGTTGACTTGGAACTCTCTATGTAGACCAACCAGGCTGGCATTGAACTAGCTCCCCTGTCTCTGCCTCTATTTGGAATTAAAGGTATGTGCCACCACACCCGGCTATATGCTTTTTAATTACATGTTTATGTTTGTGTGTGTGTGTGTGTGTGTGTGTGTGTGTGTGTGTGTGCATGCACATCATATGTGTAGAGACAGAGGCCAGAGGACAAACTTGTAGCAACTGGTTCTCTCCTTCCACCTTGTGGGCCTCCGGGATTGAATTCAGGTTGCTGACCATGGTGGCAAGCACTCTCACCCACTGAATCATCTCATCATCTCTGGATTTTCCATGTTAGAAGTACAGCACAGTAGATCATTTCTCAACTTAAAAGTAAGAATTTTATAAACGGTCCTCATTTACATGATGATATTATTGTTAGGAACACTCATAATTGTGTAATGTGATCTTTACACATGGACCATAAAATTATAATGATTCAGTATATAGAAAATATAAAGTATGTCAGCTGTAAAGGGTAAGAGAAAGGCCTTCAATGGTATCCACCATTACCTTATTTACTTCAAGGCTTATAAAAGCAAAGATTGTGTGGGGCACTATCTCACGAAAGCTGTCATGAATGCTTATCTTTTTAAAGGAAATGAGTTCTTCATCTAGCCACACGCATAGAAAAGGACCATTTAACATTTATTTATTTGTTTGTTTGTTTGTTTGTTTATTTATTTATTTATTGTTTTTCAAGACAGGGTTTCTCTGTGTAGCTTTGTTCCTTTCTCACTCTGTAGCCCAGGCGGGCCTTGAACTCACAGAGATCCGCCTGCCTCTGCCTCCCGACTGCTGGGATTAAAGGCGTGCGCCACCACTGCCCAGCCCATTTAACATTATTATGATTTCTAGTTTGTACTTACAATACAGTTACTTGTCAACTAAAACTTCCAACTGTAAACTTTTGGTGTAAAACAGCTAAGAATTCATGTTTCTGGATTTGAAATAATCTCAGTTGTATATTTTATGTGACGAAGTCAGTGTATTAAATTGTAATTTTATTTTTACTTAATTATTTATTTGTGGGGGGGGGGTTTGAGGTACTCATTTATGTAGCCCAGAATGGCATCAAATATGCTATGTAAAAGAAGCAGGATTAGAATTCGTGACTGTCGGGCTTCCGCATCAAGTGCTGGGACCAAGCCCAGTCCATGCAGTGGGGTCGCAGGCTGGACTGCAATCACAGGCATGTGTCACTGCCATGCCTGGCTGTCATCAGTTTTCTATCTGTCTGGTTTGCTGTCTGTGAGTAACAGAGATGAGTATAACACTCCGGTAGTACCTTGAACAGTGACATTCATTAGCTATTTTATATTTTATTCTCATGTTTATTTTGCATAGTTAAGCTTAATTGGCACTTACCACATTCTCAAGAGTAGGAGATTATAGAGTTTATCTTCAGTATTGTTTCGTGGTACAGCCATAAGAAAAGGCTGACCAAACAGTGAAGAGCCAGTATGGTGGGTGTAACTTGAGTGTCTGAATTTTTCTCTTAGGCAAACAGGAATAACCACATGTTCTGTGTCTTCTGTCCTGTTGATGTTAATTTCAAACCTACGAGGGTGGGAATGACCATAATAACCTCTAAGTTTTATGTTAGTTCTTTAAGTTTTTTACCCCCCCAACAATAGATTGCAAATGGATATTATACTTACACGTAAATGTCATCCCGCTCCATAATACTACTGAGGTTTTCATCCATGGCAAATATCCTGTGAAATCTATGATTGTATATGTCAGTGACTATCATCTAGAAGGAAATAAATGTCTATTAAGCTGGTTTTACAATACTGAGAAACTCAACCCCCATTTACGTACTTCAATCTCAGAAACATCTCACCTTCTCTGCAGGCACTCCCGACAAAGCCGACAATGCTGTACAAAGATCTAGTATATTTCCAATTTTGGGCACAATAACTTTGTACTAAAAAACAAACAAAAATTTGCAATGAATTTATGACGTTGGAAAACACTGACTAGTTAGTTGAGTGTGGGCTTGTGATTGCTCCCACACATTCAGGTGTCTCAGCACTTCTCCAATCTCGAAAGCTCCTGGGCGATAATGTCCAGCATGATGACTTCCTAGCTATACTGAGTCAAAGACCTGCCTGTAGCCCACTGCCCGAACCTGTCATCACTGCTGGTGTCTTATACTCCAACACATCACTTCATACCTCTTTTTGGTTTGTGTAGAGATTTCTAATCCTTGGATGGTTTTCTCTCTACTGTCATGATATCCACTCATCTAGACCCCACCTTATTACTTCAACCATCCTGCTACAAACTTTGTGTCTTTACCTCTACGTTCTATTTTTGTTGAACTGTGGTGGTTTGAATTAAGAAATGGCCCCCACAGACTCATATTTTGAATGCTCAGTCATCAGAGAGTAGCAGTATTTGAAAGGACTAGGAGGTGTGGCCTTGTTGGAGAAATGTGTCACTGGGGGTGGGCTTTGAGGTTTCAAAAGCCCAAGCCAGTCCCATTGTGTCTCGATTCCTGCTGCCTACAGATCTGGATGTAGGATGCTCTCAGCTCCTTCTTTAGCACCATGTCTGCCTGCATGGCGCCACGCTTCCTGCCTTGATGACAATGGACTAAACCTCTGAACTGTAAGCAAGCCTCAATGGAATGTTTTCCTTTAAAGAGTTGCCATGGTCATGGTGACTCTTCACAGCAATAGAAAGATATGAACTTTCTCATAGATGTTTGTATATGCTGAGATTTCTCAACTTCAGAGTTGGTGTGTTACAAATGAGAGTTCAAGTCAACAGACTCTTCATCATAACCCAGAAACAATTCTGTGTGTTACTTCCTTGTTGAGTCTACAGTAACTATTTGAAATCTTCACTATTCTTTAGCATTCTATTTCATATCTCCTTTCACTACCTGAAGAACACTTTACCTAGAAAATTGAAGCTACTTTGAGTAGGAAAAGTCTGGTTTCCTGCCCTTTTATAAACTATGTGTCCAGAGGTTGTTCTGCCCGTCTCTGAGACTATGGGGAGGCAGAAGTCTTTCTTCCCATGCACACCGGACTCTAGCGCCCAGGTCGTAAACCCAGGTCGTAAACCCAGCAATTATCCCCTTCTTCATTTATCTTAACTTTGTGTAAGTACTGAAATACACACAAGCCTTAAAAATACCATAAAAGAAAAACAAATAAAAAACCAAATCCCTAAACCAAAACAGTCTTTTACTGCTTTTCCCTAACAATCCCCCACCTCCCAGAGCTCACTGCTAGCTTTAAAACCCAAGCACTTCTCTTTAAATTTGTAAACTTAATGAATATTGAGTATCTCCATCTAGATTTTCCTCATGTACCCTACCAGGTGTAAACCTGAACACAAGTGCAGTTTTGTCTCAATCCTTCCATCACTTTGAATGAAGAAGCTGGTAGTTTTAAGAACATTGCATAGACACTGTTCTTACTAAGAGTAAAATAAACTCCAACACTTTGAGCATCAATGGTAAGACAACTTTGTTTATAGGATAGTTTTCATACAGATTTCATTTCTATCATGTACCAAGAAATCTGCACTATCTGGCTAGAACCCTAACTTGGGAATTTATAGTAAACAATTTTTGAAAGTAGGAACCAAATCTGCTTTGTTTAGGGAAAAAAGCATTGAGTGAGTAATAAGGATCTGGACACCCTTCTGCATTGGGATCTACAAGTCGTATTCTAGAACTACAAGCTCCCTGCCTACAAAGAGCTCTTGGGCAGTTGAGAAAAGAAGACAAAGGTCAAAATAAAATCTGTTAAATTCTGCAGTGGAGAAACAAAAAGGAGCTAATTACACCAGAAAAGGTCAAATGTAAAAGGAATAACTGATTCAAAAACATAGAAAATGTAGCATTTTTCTCATAAAACACTGAGTAATCCAGTGATAGCACTAGGCAATGGAGATAATCAAGCCAACAACTGACATTAATGTGCACCACAGGAACTTTGTATAGAATAAGCAAAACATAATACTTTGTTAAAGTACTAGAACATCATTTAACCAAATATTTTTATAATTAAAAATTCATTTATTATTTGTGTACGTGTGCATGCCATTAACACCTGTGGCAGTCAGAGGAAAACCGGCGGAAGCGGGTTCTGTCCTGCTACCACGTGAGTCCTAGAGATCAAACTCACTCAGCTCTGTCAGGCTTGGCAGCAACTGCCTGAACCTGGCTAAGGCAGCCCCGTTGGCCCTGAACCAAGTATTCTTACACTAATGTTTTATTTCTCGTCAAAGTTGTTGAAATGCCTTAAGATTATTGATATTTAAATGCACGATCACATCACAAATTACAAAATACATTAGCTTTATTTCTGGAAGTGACCAGGATAAAACCTAGAACATAAAAAATTTCAACAGATGGGAGTTAGAGACAGCTCAAAGGTTAAAAGCACTGGCTGTTCCTATGCAGGAGCCAGGGTTCATTCCCAGCACCTACATGGTGGCTCATAACCATCTACAACTCCAGGTCCAGGGGAGCCAATGTCCTCTTCTGGCCTCCAAGGTACCAAGAACACATGTGGTACACAGACACAAATGCAGGCAAAACACCTATATACATAAATAAATAAATAAAATTTCGATAGAAAAAAATACAGACAATAGTACTGTTATTAATCTTTTAAGCAAATATCCCAAATAATAAAACAATCATCTTGGTTGTCTTTGATGTGAGAAAGAAATTTCAGAAATTTATTTTTCTATGACATCCTTCAACTTTCCATAATTCTAAAAAGGTGTAACTTCCAGAGTATTCAGCTTATAAAATCTATTACACAATACTCTTTATGATTGAATTGTGCTGGTGAAACCACCAAGTTTTATACTAGCCTCATCACTAATTAAGTAAAAATAACACTTACAAAGAAAAAAGTCATTACTTACTTGCATAGGTTTCACAAGTGGATCCATCCTAACTAAGTAAACTTCGAGGCTCCGCTCTTTTTTCATGGGCAATGGAAGTGTCAAGTAACAAAAAGGGTCAAAGGTCACTGAGATCTTAGCACACTCAGGACACACTAGAGTAGATTTGAAAAGGCCATGGAATATATCTACTATGATGGAATCATTTCTTTTCAAGTGGTTTTCCCAGGCTTCCTCAGCAACCACCTACAAGGAAAGGGAAGAAAGGTCACCGACGGTGTGAGGGAGCTGTGGCAGCGAGGAGGACAGCAGCGTCAAGTCCACTCACCTTGTCTGGCCTGCCGTCAGCATCTTTTAACTGAATATATGGTTTTTTTCTAATTCTATTCAAATCCTCATGGAGTCCATCTAATAGAAAAGCTAATAGTTCTTGGCAGTCTTGCTGTTGATATCCAGAGAACTGAGGTGCAAAACGTCCTACCTGTGTCTGTAAGACCAACAAAACAACAAAATCAGACAGGAGTCCTTAAAAAGCACACAGTTGTTCTCATTAGTCATGAGTCCATACATGAGAAATTACCTATTTATTAAAAATTACTTATATTCCCCAAGTCAAATTTGTGACACATTTTAAATCATTTGAAGATACGTTCCAGTAAAAAAATTGTTCCCTCTCTGGGGGGGAAGAAAGCTATGCTGCCTTTTAGTTTCAGCATCATTTTTTCATTTTTTTTTTTTATAATTATGTTTTCTTCTTTACACTTTTGTGCTTTCCAGGTAGGCTATTTAGTGTATAGAACATTCCCCAAGGAGACTGCTAAGGGGTTGGCTAGAGGTCATAAACACAGGGAGTGGTAGTGTGCTTTATGGGGAAAACACAATTGGATAAATTTTGGTAAAAATGAGTTATAGTGTTGGTTATGAAATCAGTATTAATGTGTCAACCATACAAAATAGGGGCTTTTCAAACAGACACACATTTAAAGCAAAGAATGGTTGGTGGATTAATGAAAATGTGACCAAAGTCTTGGTGGAATCAAACCCTGCACTTCCCCTAGGAATGTGCTTCTGTACTTGTTAACTTAATTTGTGCTAACATTATGGAAAATAACTTTTGTGAAAAATTAAAGCTAATTGTATTTACACAGAATAGGGGTAAACACAAATATGCTATATATACACATACATATATATATATATGCAGATGTATATATGTAGTTTATTTGTTTTGCATTTCCAGTAAAGATGTGATAAATCTTTATCTTTATTCAATATGTGGATGCTCTAAAAATAGAACTGGGCACAGTGACAAGCCAGTGATCCCAGAACTTAGGAGGCTAATATAGGGAATGCTGGAGTCTAGGAATTTGAGACCAGTCTGGGCAATATAGAAAGAATTCATTGCAAAATAAAATAAAATGAAGAAAAAGTACACATACAAACCTACGCAAAGCACTCTCTCTAAATGCATTAATCATTGTGTGGCCTTGGACTGGCTTGTTATTAATCACATTTCACTGTTTATCTAAGGGGTTTGGGCATTATTTAGCTACAGGTCTTCCTACAATGACTGGTAGGCAGACAACAAGGGACAGGTTCTAATCCCAGCTATATTAATATGTAAACATTAGACACACAGAAATATATCTCTAAAAGCATTCTGAAATAAGTTTCAGGAAATATTGACTTGAGAAGCAAATAAAAAGAAAATATGGAAAACCTTTATACATGACATTGTGAAACACTGGAGACGTAAAAGCTAGTAACATTTTACTGAGTCACTAAAGAGAAACTATAAACCTCTCATTTATCCATTGTAAAAAAGAGGACAAATCTGACGGCCAAAAGGCACATTACAGTTCTTCTACAATTTTCCTTAAAAGAAATACAATCTGAATCAGAGAATGAATCAGAGAATGAGACAGGTCTGGCAATTAATAGGTGTGTATCTACAGGAAAGTTCAAGAGAAAACAATCTAGCAAAATCAAACTGCTGAGGGTTGGTTTGTCCGGACAAGTCTCTCAAGGTTTAGAATGTGAAAGAATAACTGCAGGAGCAGTCTGATTTATTGACTGCTTCACATTTTTACTTGGATGTCTTAATTACATTTATTGATTGTTTGTATGCACACTTATTTTTTAATCATATACTTGATCTTTAAAACCTTACTATTTTATATATGGGTGTTTTGCCTGCATTGTCTCTGCACCATTTGCATGCAGGGCCTGTGGAGACCTGAAGAGGGTGTCAGACACGTCTCCCCCCTCTCTGGCCCGGGAATGGTGTTACAGATGGAAGGCAGCTACCATGAGGGTGCTAGGAGCTAAACCTTGGTCCCTTGGAAGAGGGGCCAGTGCTCTTAACTGCATGACCATGTTCTGACTCACTTTTTAAGAACTGGTAGATAATTAACAAATATTTTATAGCAGATGTTCTAGAGATGCCACTTACCTATAAAGACTATGGCTTACAATAACTTAGTGCAAGATCTAAGAAGGAACTAGCTCACACACAAACACCCAAGCGTAAGAACTACGGAAAAGAACAAGCTGCATGACCACAGGATAAACTAGGTCACTTAGACTTAGTAGCATAGTGACATGCCTGAAGGAAGTTCTTTACATCACGTCAAATATCCATGGTTTCCAGAAACACTCTAAACCACTTTAAACTATATTAAAGTCTTTTCTGTCCCCCTTATTATTCCTTCCCTCTACTGACAGCCTTATTCATAAAGATTTAGTTTTGATTATGTGTGCACACGTGAGTTTGCACATGAGTGCAAAGGCCAGTGGAGGTCACAAGATGGCATCAGATCCTCTCCAGCTTGAGTTTCAGGGGCATTTCTGAGCCACCTGATGTGGGTGCTGGCAACTCAGGTCCTCTGGAAAGGTAGAAAGCGCTCTTAATGTCTGAGCCATCCCTCTCCAGCCCATCTCTAGAGATTAAGAAAACAAAAACCAAACAAAAAGCCCTAATCACCCATCCTGTTCTATGCCCTGAAGTTTTATATCCCACGGATGGGATGCACTGTCTTGAGATCGGGAGACACCGTAATGGGACTTCATCCCTTTCATCTGGGGATCCCTCCCCGGGATAAGAGTACACTTGATGAGAATAAGTTTACCGTACTAACCTTAAACGCTCTAGGAGTGACGTAGCTGAACTTTCCAGACCACATCTGCTTGATCAGTTCAGCATATGATTTAGCTATTTCACCTCTCATTCCTAAGGGATTGTCAAAATTCAGTTCTTCTTGGTACTTATCATTGAGGAAGTATTCAGTAAGTGGAGGTGTGTTGCTCAAACACTGCAAGGGACAAAATAGATTTTAAAGTCAGAGTAACCATACAAATACTTTAAAAACGTTAAAATGAAGAGTGGAACAAACTGATCTGCTACAACATATGCAGAAAAATATAAATGGTTTCTTGTACTCAGTAAATGTCAAACACTCAAACGAGGCACTCATTATTCATTTCCCAAACTTTCAATCAGTTACTTATAATAAATAAGAAACTGTTGGTTGCTGCAAAATCTGCATTAATTTTAACCACAGCAAACTACCTGTTAACTGGGAGAGAAGCTCAGAGTTTTCTTTCCTTCTTTTACTTGATTGGTAGAAATTATGGATTGTCTAATCATCCCAGGCACCTGCAAATTAGCCTGAGTAGGTAAAAACTGAGATAGCGTGCAAGCAAAAAAAAAAAAACAAAAACAAAAAAACCTTAAAGGAGGTACAGACGGTTCATGGTATCCATGGACTCAAATCAATTGCAGATAGGAAAATACTTGGGAAAAAAATTACATTCACGCTGAACAAAAGTTTTTTTGGTCATTATTCTTTAGCTGGTACAATGTAAAGGTATTATAAGCAAGCTAGAGATGATTTAAAATGTACAGGAGGAGATACACAGGTTATGTTGTAATCATAAGCCATCCTGTGGATTTTCAGACCACTACCTCATGGATACCACGACAACAACTGTACTTACTGCTTCTGCAGCCAACGCCTTATCATAAAGGAGCCGTTTTTAAACCTGTCATCTGGCTGGCAGCAGTGTTCAGAACGGGTAGTACTGACCAGGAAAGCCTAAGAAGACAAATTTTAGGCAAACCCTGGGTGTGTTCTTTTGACAGCTCTTAATACAATAACAATCCAACTTTCTTTTATGAAAAAATAAAAAACTACACCAAAGTTCTCCAATTCTTTATTATTTGAATTAATTCCTGATTTAAAAATTTAAAAAGATGGCAGAAACACATTTTTCCACAATATTTTACCTTATGATGGAGTAACTTTAAATTGATGATGTATATAATCTGATCTCAGTAGGAGCCATGTTACTTTATTAATGAATGTTTTGCCTATGCAGTGCATCATACACATATAATCATGTAAGTTATACAAATATAAATATCTATCTGTTTATGCAGGAATGTATTTGTCTTAGAGTCACGTGATAAAGTGCTATATGAGAAACCAGTTGCTTGTATATAACTTAAAAAACCATTTTGTTCAGAGTCTCAATTGATATTCACGGAAATGAAAGTTTTGGAGAGCTGGTGTGCACTAAGTTGCATTACGTTAACAGGCTTTGTAGCTATGAACGGCTGGCTTGCTGGGTTCACACAGATAACTGAAATTATGACCGTAGTCTATCGTCTGGTCAAAACACCAAACTAAGCATATTCTTTGACTTAGTTCTTGGAAGTACATTATGATACTCATCTATTTTTCAGTCTCAACTATATCAACTTATGTTTACTAAGTAATCATAATTATCTATAAAATCTGGGTGTAGTCTAAACTGGTAGTCTAGCCCCAGCCCTCAAGACGAACTTGTAAATGTGTTAGTATCCCGGCATTGATTGTTAGGATTCTCCCCTCCTTCCTGAGGTCATCTAAGGTGCTTAAGAATAAGTGCAGATACTATAGCTGAGCTCCACCCTGCTCTTACTGTACTTCTGATTTTGAGACAAGATCTTAAGTTGCCCAGGCTGGCCTTGAACTCATTCTGTATCACAAACAGGTCTTAAACTTATCATCTCTTGCCTTGGTCTCTAGACCAATTAGATTCCAGGACCATTACTAGGTCCAGAAGTTACTGTATGACTTAGGCTGGGCTCTGTAGGTCTTTACAGTCCTTTACATTTACTTCCAGTATAGAAATCTTCGTAGCAGAGAGAAATCCATAGGTAGTTTATAATGTGGAAGGTCACTAAGGGACAGGGCACTTCCTATTTATTCCTAAGTCCTTTTATGTTGAATTCCATTTTCTTCTTTTGCATGACATTTCACTTTTAACTACACACCCAGCACTGGAGGAAGGATCAGGCAATACAGAACGTATCAGAACCCAGATGCCATCACCTAGCAGTACCCTCTGACTTGCCCCAAGTAGGAACAACACTAAATAGACAATTAGGCAAAGGGACAGGCACAGCAATATATAATAACTAGCACTTAGTTTCCAAATCTTCATATTTGATTTGGTCTATTAATTTGGGTTATATTAATTAATCAATAAAGTCTATTATTATACTCATACAACCAACCAAATAGCTAAAAATAAGTGGTGTAAAACATGAATAATTTCCGAACTTTATTTTCACTAAATATTCATATGTACTGTTAACTCTCTACCAGTGATCTTTTAAATATGTGTTTAATCATGTTACTGAATTGCTATAAAACCTTCAATAACTCCTTCCACTCATACAAGAACCCCAATTCTTAGAGGAAACTTACTCATCCATGTCCCTCTGACAATGCCTGCACTTACTTTGTTCACTGACAGGCTCTTGACTTCTATGCTTCCTCTCGCTGCCTAACGCACAACTTCACCTATCTGAAAACCCATCTTCTTCCCTTAGTAGCTCCACCCTCTGAATCAGATTCTGGTATCCTGCCTGGGATGTGCTCTCAGATCCTCAGCAATGTCTCCTGCTGTGCTTGCATACTGCTCAGTGTTCACTTTCATTACAGCACTGGTTTTATGATACACTGTAATATTTTGCTAGTCTATGTCACATGGGCTCCATGACAGCCTTCATACTTCCAATCTTTAGCACTGAATGTATCACTTGGCACTAGTCAATACACAATAAATACATATGCTTAATAAAAATGTTCTGCCTGTATTTACTAATGTACGTATTCTCTCAGTTTTTATTCTTTTCTCTCATTACTTATCATAGACTGCTTAATTAACTTTTGTCTAATGAAATCTTAGCACAAGTGGTAAATACATACTTGCTTATAACGAACGACTTCAGAAGTAACCCCCAAACCCAAGGATGAAAGCAACAGGACAATATGTATTGAATGTATTCTACCTTTATGTCTGATTTTCTCTTGGCCTTGCAGTGAACCTGCTCTGATTTTCTAGACTAGCTCTTATTTTCACAGGGGCACATGCCAGTTTGAACTGATTATGCTTCCGTATTGCCACAGTATAATGAAATACAAATACTTTAAACAAATGGGGGCATGGACTACTTATGGGGATGTCATAACCAATATTTAAATTTAAACATTCAATCTAATGTATTGAATTATATAATGTATTAAGGAACTTTCAAGTTATATTTCTCTAACAATTTGTAAAAGCACATGAATATAGAGATCCAGTAGCTAATCAACTGTTTTACTAGTATACAAATCCCAATGGCTGAAATTCTAAGTGATGTCAGAATTGTCTCCTAATCTTGAAAATATTGGTACATTAAAAGTTATGTTCTTGAAATAATGTATGGACCAGTTCCTATGACTTTTGGTACAGATTTCAAGATAGAATTAGAATACTAAAGTCAGGCATCCAAGTGTCTGCATGTCGCAAGTTCCATTCTACCCATGCTCAACACCATCATTCGGGAGAAAAGAAGCCAGTTTCTTAAATCTGGTTGTGTTGCTGTTTGATGGAAATTATGGCATCATTTAGTGTTTTCATATGAGCCTATCTTAAAATGAGAAAAGTCCTTGATGACTGAAACTGGATGCTCAGACTGGCTGCCATTCAACATCACGTTTTCAAGAACAACTCCTTTTAAAATATACTTATATGCATGTTTCTCCATATTTAAATAGGACATTGCCCTTTCAGACTCAAAGATACTTTGATACAATATGGACTAAAAGTCTAATGTATTGTATGTAGACTAAATGGTTCCTTGACTGTAAAATTAGGCAAAACAACTCTAATTTCTTAACATATATGGTCGTTGTCAGCAAACCCGAAACATATATGAGCATGTTATAAGAAAAACCAAATGCATAAACAGTATTAGACAATGTATTACTTTTGGCCATTTCTGATAAGCTACCGTTCTCTGTTAATTTACCAAGTTAACAACCTGACACTGTCAAACATCAAAATCAAGAAAATTAGATCTTCTAATTATCTGTAGTAAAATGGGACCCAAGTATGAGGAAATGTATTGCTATTAAGACACACATGTATGTAAGTTTTTTGAGATATGGTTCTATTATATAGCCAAAACTGAGTATAAAAACCTGATCCCCCCCTTCGCTTTCCTAGGACTGGAAAACAACACAAGATCTTAAGCCATGCCTTGTATTCATTATAATTAGAGCTGTTCCTCAAATGGAGGTCATACTAAAGATAAAGTAATACCATGCTTGATAACGTCATTTTGAAACTACTATCATGCACAAATCATCTATACTAATTGACAATAAAGCAATAACTAGACAAAAGAGGTTCTTAATAGCATCTTCAATTCTGAATGCAAAAGAGAAAAAAGTAAGCAACTTATGTTAATAAATAGGTAAGGCACTTGATAAAAAGGCTAACTATTTCTCTATTTAAATATTTAAAAACCAATTCCATGCAAACTAACAGTGTACAAAATTGGCAAAGACAACAGAAATTGAAGGATGAATAATCACATTTCGTATCTGGTGTGTATGGTAATCTTCTTGCATTTACTAATTTAGCTTTCATGACAGAATGATTAGAGACAAGGCTGAGCAAACAAGCTACTATAGAAAGTTACTGATTGCGGAGAAATGGTAAGAAAGGTGATGGACCACAGCTACGACAGCATGCACAAGACTTAGGCAAGCAAAAGCCATACCAAATCCCAGCATGAAGAAAGGAGGTAGAAGTACCTCCCACCCCTAGCCAAGGAGCTAGTGACAACTGATACTGCCGGGGAAGGGAGAGGCAGTTTTTGGTAAGTTGGTTATACTCCATGGCAGGCTACACATCCAGCAATGTACGGGCAACACAGATTGGACTGAATGAGTTAAAAAAACAAAGGACACAAAGGTGGGTGGATCTGGAA